AATTAATATTAACAGTACATTTAATTGTGCTTGTTACGTAATTATCAATTGGAAATAAGTATTCATTGCTTTATTAAACATATTTCTCTTAGTAACAAAAAATAATAGTACAGGTAACCCCCGTATAACATGGCACTTCTATAGCACGGATTCGCTCTAACACGGTTCGAGAATTGGTACCATCCCCCGTATAACACGGTACTTTTATAGCACGGATTCACTCTGACACGGTTCGAGAATTGGGTAANTGAATACATTGGGTAAATTATAGAGTTAAGTATTATAGTTTTTGCTGTTGAAAGCATTAAGAAATCAGCTTTATTTTTAATAATATTCTGTTATAAAACTCTATAATTGTTTTAATATTGCAATAGCTTTACAGAATGGCTCAAGCAAATGAAAATACAGTATAACCCTTATTTATGAATACTCAATATATGGGAATTCAATACAATGACCCATTTTGTTTTCTTCACTTCCCCATTTACAAGAACAAAATATTCTGCTCAAGAGTGCAACAAGATTGTCTGCTTTCTATTATTTTAATTAAGTTATTTTCATACCATTAAATAAAGAAAGGACTGATAACTTATGTTTGCCTCTCTCATTTCAAGTTAGTTTCTTTTATATTGATGAATAGCCTAATCAATACTATTTAATTTCATTTACAATCATTGACTGATAGATAAATAAGTGTTTTAGTATTTTAACATTGCTTGTGAAACATAGATAAGATGAAGGGATTATTCTGAGATAAGGAACACTGGAAACCTTGTTCTTATTCATGATAGTATGATTTTTGAGAAGTTTTAAAAATAAGACATGTTTATAAATCAGTCATTTTTATTATGTAACTATGAATTACATCATATGATGTATAAAAACTATGTTTGATCTGATTACACATATATTTGTAAAAACTGTCAATTCTACATATAGTATCGACATTATGGGATGCCAATATACCTTATATTGAACNAGACATGTTTATAAATCAGTCATTTTTATTATGTAACTATGAATTACATCATATGATGTTAAAATTCTGTTGTATAAAAACTATGTTTGATCTGATTACACATATATTTGTAAAAACTGTCAATTCTACATATAGTATCGACATTATGGGATGCCAATATACCTTATATTGAACTTCCCTTATATTAAAGGCAACACATTTCAATTAAAATATTAATATCAAAATGGTAAATTATTACTATTTATTATGCAACATTATTGATATTGTATTAATTTTAACCCTTGAAAACACAATAGTAATTCTGATTATTAATGCACATATTGGTCATTTTAGTGCACACAGTACTTTCAACAAATTCTAATTTTTGATAAAGTTTACTTTTTAATGTATACTTAATTATCATTAAATCTAAGTTTTGATGTTTGACATCAAAACTTATATGTTATATGTTAATGTTATAATTTTAATGTCAAACTTCTGTCATACAAGTATGTAATAATCTACCCAAATAATTGTATGCATTTCATAGTTATTTGAGTTAAGCATTTTTAATGTCATGCAGAAAGTATTCTGGATTGATTTTCTTTAAAATAATATAAGCATTGAACACGTGTTTTGACACAGTCATCATATGAACACTTCCAATTTTGTTGCAATACAATGTAATATTTTAGCTTTTCATAATTATTTATTTCAGCTATTTAGTGCATTATGCTAAAAAAACTGCTTTTTTTCCTTTTTTTTTTTGAAACATAACTAACTAGTGCCATACCATCAGTGAAGCCATGAGCTGATCTGTCCCTTAATAGCTTAAAAAACAATTAAATATCTGGTTTGTTTTGTCTCATTATTTCAATGTTTGTTAGCTTCTGTTTCTTCAAATATTTAGCAATGGTAATGCTTGTAAAGAAATTATCATACATCATGTTTTGACCATTTTTCAAAATTGAATGAGAGCTCATTTGCTATGTCAAAACCCAGATTTTTATTCAGAGTTGTATAAGTATATTTTCTTATATAAACAATGCATAACAATGCTCATCACATGCGTAACAAGTCTGAATCATTTCTTCAAAATAACTTACTTTGATTTAATACTTGACAGGTTCACTTTTCATGTATTTTCCAAACAGACATCTGCCGTGAAGTAGGACAAACATCAGATTCATCAATCACAATATTTTCACTTGGAGCCAAACATTTCTGGTAGTTCCATATAAAACAGCTCCAGATGTGTGAAAATGTTGCAAATTTATCTGACTGAAGACATTCTGCTTTTATTGTTGTCCTGTCATTAGATTGCAGACATCTATGAATGCTTTCAAATCTTCCTACAAACATAGTTGCATGATATATTGAGTTTGTCATCTTAATAAGAAATAGTCTGTGAATTGAAGCATCCCAATTTCTCATAACTCCAACAACCAAATATATTTCTATGAATACATTAATTTCATATAATTCAACATCTTACAACTGAAATTTTTTTCACTGACTGTTCTAACATCTCTGATTCTCAACTCACATCCACATTTCTTTTTTTCAAAAAGCTTATTTACTTCATCTTTAAAACTTCTCCTATTCATAATTTCTTTGAGTCATTGAAACAGTTGACTAACAATATAGCCAGTACATACATGAGCTGCTTATTTTATTTTTATTAAGAAATTCATTGTGGAGCAAAAGTAATCATGTTCAAATTAGAAGCAATTTTCTACATTTACTTTTGAGAAAAATTACTAAAATGAAATGAGAATAGAAGGTTCTAATGTTACATGAAGAAACAGTAAATTGTTGGATGCATATGGAAGATGTGTAAACTGAAACTAAAACTTTTGAGACTATGTAGCATGTAGCAAAAACCAAAATCAGAACTAAACAGAAAAAAAAAGTGCACTAGAAACAAATTGTGCATTCCTGAGTACAGGTCAAAATAACTTATGTTTTGAAGTGAAAACCAATACAAAAAATGATAACATTTCAGTTTATTAGATTGCTTTCTGAAACCATATATTTTTGCTCTTGATTACCATTGTCAGTAATGCATAAAAGTACAAAAAATAGCAATTAAAAAATAAAAAACATGTACATAGAAAAATGGTCATCTGACTCAATTTGCCCTAAGATATGCATTCAAGGATTAACATACCCATAAAAGCTGATAGAATGACAAGAATAAATAATTTTGGTAACTGTAAGGCAAAATAATTCATATAATTTTCATTGTCTAAAATCTTTTCCTTACATTAAATATAAAATATAACAAGTAATATAGATTGTGTAACTTAATTCATATGTATTATAATCTTTATGCATTATTAATATTTACAGTAAAAATATAATTCTGAATGAGGAGGATAAGCATTTCCAACTATGGGTCATTTTGACCTGTAGTTTTATTTATTGATATCCGAAAAAAATATCACTAATATATTTTTAAAATGATGTTTTTCAATAATGAAAATATTCTTAACATTATTTATTATGTATATGTATGATGCTAAGTGTATACATATCAAAAATTACCCAAAAAATTTTTCATGCTAAAGCGAGTGCATCTTATTTTCTTAGTACATATTATATAAAATGCTTCAATCCAAGTGATCTGTTGTTGATAAACACCTGTTCCAATGCAAATCATGCTGTGCTTTCATCCAATACATGGCAAATAAACCTGACAAACTGGACATCAAGCTCTGGATTATTGGTGATGGGAAATAAAGGTTTTCTTTATGTTGGTACAGATGTGTCATGTTTGAGAGATATATCATTGATGCAGCTTATCATCATGAAAGTGTATTCATGTATCAATACTACACATGACAATTTTACATCTCTTTCATTACTAAATTACTTACATTCAGTGATTATCAGCATGCTGGGAACAGTATGATACAATTAGCTATCGATGATAGCTTTCACATTAGAAAGCTATCATCAATAGAGCTGATTCTGAGTACAGCCATACTAAACAATGAAAATAACACAACTTTAACAATTTATAAACTGAATTAGAATAAAAACGTAATTGTGATGAGTTTCATGACTCTGTTGAGTTTTTCAAGAGAAAAACAAGACAAAAAGAGGAAACCAGAAGCAATATTCTAAGATAATTAAGCTATCAGAAGAACTGCATCAAGAGTATCTGGAGAAAAAAAGCAGCCCACTCCAACCAATCCACACTTGGAAAATTCTGGAAATTTAGCGTTTTTACCAGGAGAAAAGTAAAAATTATAAGGGGATCTATTGTCGAAGTAATGGCAATTGCACAATGCAATTCTGTAATTCTTGCAAAGTTCCTAGGAAAATGCACAAAAGAGATTCAGGTAGTGTGTTTGATGTGCAGTAAAAAACTACTAACAATAAATTAATTTTTGGTCATTTTATGAATTTTGATAGCAAAAGAATATATTCAGAAATTTGTATAATAAAAGTACATGTCAAAATAAATACTCAGACTCTAGTTGCAACTTTTCTATTATAGGTCAAAATGACCTATAATAGAAAAGTTGGCAGTTCTTGATATCAACAAATTACAGCATTCCTAGTATTAATAACTCTGATTCCTGTTTATATATCAAAACTAATAAATTTTTGTAAAAATATACTGATAACATAAAATTAATCTGTTTTGAACTACATTTCCTAGCAGAGTTGGCAAGAAGTAGGAGTTATTAATAATAACTATAATGTAAAGGATAAGGTGCCTACATCCACTACAACTTTAATAGAGAACACTAATAGTTAAATATGGACATTTGAAACATTGAAACCTGCTATAATTTTTATAAAAATTTATTGATTTACACTAATAATCAAACTGGTTGTACAATAATAATCAAACTGGAGAGGGAACCCTAGTTCCAAAATATGTTTTAGTTAATTTTATAATAATTGTAAATTTAAAATGGTAGTCTTTATAATAACCGAAGTGTAATAAATTGTTTCAAATACTTGATTAATATATGTGTGATAAGTCCTAATATTTGAATTACAATGGTCTTCATTTATGTAAAAAACATGTTAAATAACTTTTGTTTTGTATCTATAAAACTACAAAAGTTTAAATTTAATTTATCTCATTATCAAAGCATAAATATATCTGCAGTACAAAAGATATTACAATAAATGATTTATGATTTGTCCACCAGTGATAAACTATGACTAAAACTAAATAGGTAACCATCATATATCACTGATGGATATACTGAAATGAAACATTTTGTTATATTGACCTATAAACCCTAGTAAGCATGAAAATTTTTTAAATACTACTGTGGTTGAGGGAAGAAGTGCAGAATCAGCTTCCAATGTGAATATATTAAAAAGTATCTAATTAATTATTATTATATTTAATATTAATATATTAAAAATATCTAAAGTTAAAAGAAATAATAATGACAAACCTAATACTGAATTGTAAGACTTTTGAAGTTCTTCAAGAAATAATGGTAAACCTCGAAGTGCTAAAGTATTTGCAGTTTTTGACATACAGTGAATTGTTGACATTGAAAGATTTTCATGTACTGTATCACAAAATTCTTTCAATATTGATTTCATCCAGTTTTGAAATATCATAGAGCTAGAAAATATAAAATTTATAGTTATCCCCACATAAATAATAATCATATCTTAAATTATTAATAAGATATATTACATTTAAGTATATTATATTTAAAAATAAAAAAAAACTCTATTGATGACATTCAGCTTTCTACAAATAAAAAAGTTTAACTCTTATTAATTGATTTACATCTGATATGAAATATATCTAGATTTAGTTGCATTTTCAAAATATTTCTATATCATTTGAAATAATTTCATCTATTATATATTTTAATTTAAATTTCAAAAACTTTCTGAACAAGTTTTTGAAAATTTAATTTATTTCATTCAAAATTAGACGACATCTTAGCTAAATTTTTGTACAATCTTGTCAAAATTTCTTTGTAAAGAAAATCACTTTATAAGATATAAAGCAAATATATTTATATATAATTTAAGATTTACCTAATAATTAAATGAAATAAACTGGAACAACTAAGTTTATCACTTACAAGTGGTCTCAAAAAAATTGAAAAATCTTGCTTTCTTAAATTTTATTTGTTTTTAAATATGGCTATTATAATTATTTACAGAAAAAGAAGCAAAGAACATTAAATATTAACAACTAAAAGATATTTAAGTCTAGATAAATACTTCTTGCAAAGTTCCTTTCATATCTTTATTCAGTAAGTTCTTCAGGCTATTCAGATCATTATAAAGAACAATTTGAAATATCAGAAAGCAAATTGGAACAAAAAAATTAATCTAATTTATATTTTATTAAAGTGATAATTTAATTTATATTTTAATTAATTAAATAGACTAGATATATTTTTATATATAGAGTGGAACATGAAATAAATAATTTTCGTAACTGTAAGGCAAAATAATTCATATAATTTTCATTGTCTAAAATCTTTTCCTTACATTAAATATAAAATATAACAAGTAATATAGATTGTGTAACTTAATTCATATGTATTATAATCTTTATGCATTATTAATATTTACAGTAAAAATATAATTCTGAATGAGGAGGATAAGCATTTCCAACTATGGGTCATTTTGACCTGTAGTTTTATTTATTGATATCCGAAAAAAATATCACTAATATATTTTTAAAATGATGTTTTTCAATAATGAAAATATTCTTAACATTATTTATTATGTATATGTATGATGCTAAGTGTATACATATCAAAAATTACCCAAAAAATTTTTCATGCTAAAGCGAGTGCATCTTATTTTCTTAGTACATATTATATAAAATGCTTCAATCCAAGTGATCTGTTGTTGATAAACACCTGTTCCAATGCAAATCATGCTGTGCTTTCATCCAATACATGGCAAATAAACCTGACAAACTGGACATCAAGCTCTGGATTATTGGTGATGGGAAATAAAGGTTTTCTTTATGTTGGTACAGATGTGTCATGTTTGAGAGATATATCATTGATGCAGCTTATCATCATGAAAGTGTATTCATGTATCAATACTACACATGACAATTTTACATCTCTTTCATTACTAAATTACTTACATTCAGTGATTATCAGCATGCTGGGAACAGTATGATACAATTAGCTATCGATGATAGCTTTCACATTAGAAAGCTATCATCAATAGAGCTGATTCTGAGTACAGCCATACTAAACAATGAAAATAACACAACTTTAACAATTTATAAACTGAATTAGAATAAAAACGTAATTGTGATGAGTTTCATGACTCTGTTGAGTTTTTCAAGAGAAAAACAAGACAAAAAGAGGAAACCAGAAGCAATATTCTAAGATAATTAAGCTATCAGAAGAACTGCATCAAGAGTATCTGGAGAANAGAGTGGAACATGAAAAGTAGCCCAGACAGAATCTAGTGTATCACATGGAGTAAGCAAACCATGTCAGTTGAATGAAACATTGTGTTCAGTGAACATTGGTGTTCCATATTATGCAAATTCACACAATACAGGAACTGAAAACAACATTAACCACACAATCACTGCCATTGATGACACTGCATGTTCCTAAACACAATTTAACATGCACAGCCATGTATAGATGTGACAGGTAACCACTTTCAACATCTGTATGCAGGTGTTACCAGCAGCTGGCTTGTGATTATTATTCTGTATTTTTGCCAAGCTATGGACTACAGCTACTTTTTTGTACTAGGATCTGTATATACTTTATGTCTATGGGTATAATTATACCCCAAAAGTACATATTTCTTATTTAATAATTTTCTAGCTACTACAATTGTATATCAATTGTTTATTGAAATAGTTATAATCTATGTATATTCATTATCCATATTGTATGAGAAAACAGATTAATCTATTTGGTACCATTACAGATTCAGTTATACATTTGGCATTATAAACTGCTTAAAATCAGCTCCCAAACAGACTGAACAACTTTTTGAAATTGACAGTACATATGACAGACTGCGTCATTTTTAGCATAAAAAGTCAAATTAATATATTTTGATTTTTATTATATATATATCTATGGGTATCAATGAATCAATTTCATTTATATTCTAAACTGTTTTAATATTTTTGTGTTCAAATTTACTTTCTAGTATTTGGAATTCTTCTTTGCAATGGTTTAGTGCCTGAAGAAATCTTATTGAATAAAGACAATTCACCTACTTTTTTGAACAATATTCAACATTGTTTATTTTTTTATTAAAGAATTCAAAACTCTGTGCAGAAGGGTATTTTATTTTTAGAATGCTATTTAAAACATTCAAAACAAAAAATATTAAAGTTGAATGAATCAAATACAATTGACCCTGTCTATCTTGAATCTCACAGGAATAAGAAAAAAAATTTGAGCTAGATTCCTACAACAGTAAACAGTAATAGAGTAATAGGTTTGATTGAAGATACAGTATTTTATTCGCATTTTTCACCGGATGCCCTCTGGAGTTTAAAACCAAAACTATTTTATCTAGGTTGTTTGATTCATTCTTGTCTATTATCAGCAGTAAAGATGAAAAGCGATAGAAAAAGCAACGCTTACTGTTGGTTCCAAATTGCAATTTTAAAGCCTTACAAGAACCTAATATAAGTTTTCGTCTATTCCCACACAAAAAACAGAAAAACAGATGATTATTTGGAAATTGATTGATTATATTTATGAGCTCTGAATTCTGAAAGAGTGGATTAGAGTGTTAAGAATTGGCAGTTTCCCGATTGTCCAGCTTTACACGAACAAGTTATGCTGTCAATTTTAAAACATATTTTGTTAAAGTTTAAAATGCCAGTAATTTTGTGTAAGACACAGGATCAGATTTAAGCATTTTGAAGCCCTAAGCTGAACTCTATAAGACCCCTTACCAACCCTTCACAATTTTAGAAGTCAATCGTAAAAGGAAAAGAATTAAATCAGACTATGACTCTGATTTAATATGGATATTGGAAGAAAAAGACATGAGGTTTCACTAGTCTTCTGTTTTATAACTAAATTTAATTAAATTTTTATACCCATTCCATTAAAAATCTTTTTTTTTAAATTGGTTTTATCAATTTTTTTAAAAAGATCTTATGTTAATTCTTAGAAAAAAAAATTAATGAAATACTACACAAAATAAACAGTAAAGTATATTTTGTTGGTTTGTAAAAAAATGTTTATTACAAAATTTGACTTTGATTTTTTTTTGGTACAAATGTTTAAGGTCCCTTGAAAGTCGAGGCTTTTTACTTGCAAATCTGGCCCTGATGGGACAATGTCAAAGCTGATGTTTTTTAACACAAAGGGCACAAATATGTATAGAACAATTTCACTCATTTGTTTTGATACCACATAATGACGTGTCCCACTAACAATAATTGTTCTCCTTCTATAAAATTTCTTGATAAGCAGCTACAAGCAGCATATATCATTATATCGGACAGTAATATATGATTAAATTTACATTACTAGTTACAAGCGACCCAGATAAAGTAACCATTTTGTAAAAATGTGGTGCCCTCTATAGCAAATTAATACAATGGCAAGTACAGTATGAATCTATTAGATATAAATAAAACATTTTAAACATACCTTAATGAAAATAATTTGTCAATAGTTTTTGATGCCAGACTTTTTTAACCAATAAGACATAAGCCAAACTCATAGCCAACCACAGAAAAGCAGTGTTAATTGCAACTATGTACTGCATTGCAAGAGATGTTTCTCTACTACAGTTTATGGTATCAAAATTTACTGCTGATCTTTGAAGTTGTAATTGACACTTCAGTCCATAATTTAAGATAGAGAGGTTTTAGGAGAAATTATTTGAGATAAACATGGAAAATATAATGGCTTGCTTATGAATTTGCAGAACCTCAGCAACTCTAACTCTATCTTTGGAACCTGAAGATGGGACCATTTACAGCTGAACACATTCATTCGAATATGATGTTTTAAGTGCTCAAAGGTTGCCTCTTTGTAATTTATTTAGTGGAGTAGTTATTTATTATTTTAAGTTGAATCTATACACTGAAATATTATAGTTAACACATATTTTAATGATGAAAATCTGTAAAACTTCAAACATTTTTGTTCCTTTATTATTACAAATATGTAATCATTGAAATAAAAATTATCATAAAAACTTACACCTTTACAAATCCAGTAATGTATTTAATAAAAATTAAAAATGTTTTCGATCAGTTTCACTGATTTTCCTCAGTTACAGAATACAATGAAACAGAAAAATTAAAGAATAAAAATACAAATTTAAATAATAATAATAATTTAAATTTAAGGACATTTTCTTAAAAATAACAAGCATATGAATAAATAATTAAATACAATAAATAAATAACAACAAGTAGCAGTAAAATTGCATTTGATAATGCATTTTAACAAAATTTTTATAATTAAAATGTTTTATGTTTAATGTTATACTTACTTGGTAAAATAAGAATTAGTTTGAACAGATAATTCTACAAAGTATTTCATAATCTCTTCTCGATCCTTTCTTCCTAATTTCCATTGTGTATAAGTATTATAAAGCATAAGCAACAATTCTTCTAAAAGTTCTGAAAATTTTCAAAAATTATAAATTTCATTTAGAAAAATAATAATTTAAATAAATTCTAATTAAGTTTCTAAATTATAATTTGTGTTTAAACTAAAATTGTATAATTAACAATGCTACTTTGCTGTTATGATGTTTAAAGACAAAACAAACATGTTACAAAAATTAACAAATGTGAATACAAAATACATCAAAAAATTATTTTTGTAAACATTTGTTTCAGAACAAAGCAACTAAACACAAAAAAATAAATGAGTTTTCTCTTAAATTTTCCTTTGTTTAAAGAGTATGATAGGATTGATAGAATACAGCAATGAAACACTTGGTTTCATTTTGAAATCAGATTGAAATTCAGATTGAAATGCATTGCCTTTTTCAATCTACCAGGATACTTCCCAGAAAGACTTTTTAAGGGAAACTGTCCTGTATTTAAGTGTTATAAACATGAAGGAAACCTGAAAAACTCCATATGATAAGCTTGCTGGCAAGATGCAAACCTGTAACAAATTTACAAATGTTCAGCGGTTTTATTAATTCAGCCACTTGTTTATAAAGTGTTGACAAAGTGTAGAAATTATATTTACAAAAAATATTCCTTTAATAAAGATTCATCACCAAAACATAGTAAATTTGAAAACAGAAAATTGAAAGAAATTAAAAAAAATTAATTTCTTCTTCTAAATAATTTTAATAATACATAACAAGAACACACAACTAGAAGAAAAAGTCATCTCTATTGAGTTTAATTGCTATTATGGTACGAAAACACATTCAACAGATAATGCTAATTTTTTTTGTTATACATTAAAAGTTTGTTAATCCAATACTTTATAATATGTCCAGTAAAATAGTACCTTTTCAAGGATACTATTTTACTGGACCAATAATCCAGAATTGTCCAATAATAATCTCATGTTAGTATTCTGCAAATTGTTTGTTTGGATCCATGATATGCTAAAGAAGCCTCCAGATAATAGGGTATTCATTAACATTTTGCATATTTTTCAATTTTAACACAGTATTATTCATGCACTATCATCTTCAGACTGATTAAAGAACATACATAAACAAATTAGAAACATACATAACATATATCATCATACATTGGTACAAAATTTACAGCTATATTTGCAACATTCAGATTCCATATGTTATCAAATTTTCAATATAAAAATGTCCAGTAATCACACAGTTTTGATAATCTGGCACCATTCTGGATGCATGGACTACCAGCTTAACAAACTTTTAATGTATTCTGCCAAGCTTATGTTTACACAGGATGTCTGTAAAGACACAAGTTATAGATCAAGGGTGTCTAATGCGCGGCCCACATGCGACCCAAGGCAAGTTTCAATGCTGCCCAATAAACGTGTAAAGAAAATCAACAAATGTTTTAATTTTTTTATTAATTTATTTATTTCAATGGCATAAACTCAAAAAAGAAGTTTCACAAAGCCGTAAACCTTTACTCATATTTTATTTTTGAGTGGAAAGGAAATATTTTCAAATGCTTGGAGATATGCGAATGAGGAAGGATTACTAAATAAAGCTGGAGTTGTAACTCAAAGGAATATAGACCCAAATTTGGGAAAAGGAGGGAAAGATGAGAAAGGACAAAAGATGTAATAGTGAGAAAGGTTAAATAGATCTTCTGTTCAGCAAATATGAACCCATAATTTTTCAACCTTTTACACTTCTTTATCTTTTGTCCTTTGTCTCTTTTTCCCGCACTTGGGTCTATAATTCTTTGATTCACAACTCCAGCTTTATTTAGTATTTCTTTCAACGTTGCAAGATTT